TGACTTCATTTTAAAAAATTTAAATCTTTAATCCTTTGAGGGTTATTGTGGATGGACAGAGTGAGATGTGGACCCTCCCTTATTTATATACGTGTTTGTTTATTTGTTTATCTCTTGATGGGCAGCCAGTTGTCCTGTGGCCTTTCACTGACAAGTTTGTCTTTCCCCATCACCTGTGATGGCATCTTTAGGGCGTCCTGGGTCCCGGCTGTGCTGGGGTCTGGTGGCGGTGGCCAGTTTAGTGCGTCCTGGGTCCCGGCTGTGCTGGGGTCTGGTGGCGGTGGCCAGTTTAGTGCGTCCTGGGTCCCGGCTGTGCTGGGGTCTGGTGGCGGTGGCCGGTTTAGTGCGTCCTGGGTCCAGGCTGTGCTGGAGTCTGGTGACGGCAGCTGGTTTGGTGGTACTGTCTGTTCCCCCTGCGGAGCTGTCACAGAGTGAGTTTATATGTCTTTGCTCACCAGAACCGGGGTCGAGTTTATAAAATATACTCGAGTACCCCACTCGAGGTGTACACTGGAGGTGTACTTGGGGTACACCCCTCCAAGCAGGAGTACCCCACTTGGAGGGGTGGCCCTAGAGTGGAGAAGGGATGGTGGTCTCTGCCAGGGAGCCTGTGGGCGTGGGACATCCGTGATGTCAAAACACCAGCAGGAATTCTCCCTGTCTCCTTGGTGCCCTGGCCTTACGGGTAGAGACTACCTGGCCCACCTGTTTGGCCCCCTCAGCTCCTGCGCACAAGGATGCGAGAACCACCCTGCGTCCTCCCCGGGGTTCCATGATGGGCCAGCCCGCCCCAGGGTTCCCCTGGGAGCGTCCACCTTAGACACAGCCTTTCACCTGTGCCAGCCAGGTCCCACCCACCCGCTGCCCCAGCCTCTGCTTGACGCAGGCAGTAGCACGTCACAGTTGGGAGCAGAGGGGAAACAGGGCATGTTTAAGTGGCCTTATTCCCAGAATCCCAGCTCCAGAGCTGTGTCTGAAAGGGAGATGAACTACTTCATCTGTAACATGTCAGGGGCAGGGGGAGCTGGAAGGGCAAGTCTGTTTCCAGGTGAGAAATAATGAACAACTTTTTCTTCTTTTCTTTTTTGAGACAGGGTCTCGCTCTGTCACCCAGGCTGGAGTGCAGTGGTGCAATCACGGCTCCCTGGAGCCTCAACCTCCTGGGCTCAAGCAGTCCTCCCACCTCGTGCTCCCAAGTAGCCGAGAGCACAGTCTTGAGACTGACTATCATCCAATTAGAAATTATATATATATAATTAGTAGAGATGGGGTTTCGCCATGTTGGCCAGGCTGGCCTTGAACTCCTGACCTCAAGCGATCCACCTGCCTTAGCCTCCCAAAGTGTTGGGATTATAGGAGTGAGCCACCGCACCTGGCCAGCGTTTTCTTTTTAAGATGGAGAGACCAACTGGGTGCAGTGGCTCATGCCTGTAATCCCAGCACTTTGGGAGGCTGAAGTGGGAGAATTTCTTGAGCCCAGGAGTTCAAGATGAGCCTGGCCAACATAGAAGGACCCTGTCTCTACAGAAAAAAAAAAAAAAAAAAAAAATTAGCTGGGCGTGGTGGTGTGGGCCTGTAGTGCCAGCTACTTGGGAGGTGAGGCAGAAGAATTGCTTGAGTCCAAGAAGTCAAAGCTGCAGTGAACCATGATCATGCCACTGCCCTCCAGCCTGGGTGACAGAGCAAGACCCTGTCAAAATAAATAAATAAATAAAAAGATGGAGAGGCCTTTAGTTTGTTGAAATGAGAAAGGGACAAAGGTAGTCAGAAGGGAAGGGTTGGAGATTTGAGGTGACGCCACTTCTAAGTAAGTGGGAGGCAGCTATGGGGTCCTTCAGGCCTGGGCTGGGGAGGTTGGCTTGGACAGCAGGCCCCTGTGCCTTCCCCTGGGGGAGGGGGAAGGAATGGTAGGTGTAAACACAGATATGTTTGAGGGAGTGGGCAGAAGGTGACCACTCCTTGGTCTCATTTTCCTACCTCCCTAACCTGGCTAATCCCTACAGCCTTCGCTGGCTGGGAAGTTCCTTTATGGACCATTTCTTTTTTTTTTTGTGGGGGACGGAGTCTCACTCTGTCGCCCAGGCTGGAGTGCAGTGGTGCGATCTTGGCTCACTGTGACCTCTGCCTCCCAGGTTCAAGCAATTCTCCTGCCTCAGCCTCCCGAGTAGCTGGGACTACAGGTGCCCGCCACCACACCCAGCTAATTTTTGTATTTTTATTAGACACGGGGTTTCACTGTGTTGGCCAGACTGGTCTGAAACTCCTGACCTCAAGTGATCCTCCTGCCTCAGCTTCCGAAAGTGCCGGGATTATAGGTGTGAGCCAACACGCTTGGCCCCTTGTGGACCATTTCTGATTCCTCCTGGCCCCAGTGGCCCTGCTGGGTCTCTGCCAGCGTTACTTAGAGCACAGGCGGTGTGAGCCCTGAGGAGGCCCCACCCCAGCTCCCACCCCGCCCTGGAGGAGCAGGCCATGCAGGCAGCCCCATGAGGTCACCCAGAGGCTGGGGACGGAGTCCAGAGCCGAGGGCACCCAATTGAAACCCCAAATCAGAAAAGCAGAAGTGCAGGCCTGCTTCTTCCCCATCCCCATGGGTGTGGGAACCCAGGGCCCGCTTGGTTCTTTCATAGAAGCAGCCCTGTGACGGGGTAGGGTTGACAGCTCTGTTCTACACATGAAGAAACTGAGGCCCAGAAATTCAAGCGGCTGCTCGGCAGGAAGCTGAAGTACAGCCTAGACAAGAGCCCAAGTCTCTGGACTCCAGCTCCACTCTTTTTCCCTTTGAATCAATGGAAGCTTCTGCCCCAAGAAAAAGGTCTCACCTAAAACCATTACGTTTGGAATCTCCCCCCACATCCTTGCAATAAGATTACACTGAGCCAGCCGGGCTGCTCATGCCTGTAGTCCCAGCATTTAGGGAGGCCAAGGCGGGCAGATCACTTGAGGTTGGGAGTCTGAGACCAGCCTGGCCAACACAATGAAACCCCGTCTCTACTAAAAATACAAAAATTAGCTGGGTATGGTGGCAGGCACCTGTAATCACAGCTACTCAGGAGGCTGAGGCAGGAGAATCACTTGAGCCTTGGAGGTAGAGATTGCAGTGAGCTGAGACTGAGCCACTGCACTCTAGCCTGGGTGACAGAGTGAGACTCCATACCAAAAAAAAAAGATTACACTGAGCCTTGACACCTCACCTGGGCTGCAGTCAAATCACCCAAGGAGCTTTAAAATTAAACACCTTTCCCAGGCCCCGGTCCAAACCACTTCCATCAGAATCAGAGGGCTGAACTAGGCACGGCTCCCCAAAGCCTACTGAGGCTTGAGGCCCAGGACCCTGTGGGGTCACCCCCGGGTCCCCTGATCCTGCCCCTGGATGTGCAGCTCTGGGCCAGGCCGGGATGGGTAAAGGGAGACCCAGTTTCTGTCCTGGAGAACATGTGATAAATAGGGGCTGGAAATTTATAGAAATTTGTAGACCTATTTTTGAATTGTATTTTCTCTATTTCCAAAGCTGTAGTAGGTAACAAGATTAAAATCATTAGGCTTTATAAATATAGTTGCAAACCCAAATTTCAGTCAAGGCATAAAAATGCTCTAAATGGCTGATACACTTTCTTACTACATGATCAGTTTTATTCTACATATAATTCTAAAGAATTAAAGCCTTCTTTACACATATGAGTAGGCTATTTTGGGTTTTATGATTTCTTAAATAACTGTAGGTGATTCACTGCTCAGTTCTAGCTATGATCACTTCAGGTGAACCTGCAGCTAAAGGATGAGGCTTACCCATTGATAGCAGAGTACTGTGGATAGGACAGCATGGTAGCCCAGCTCTGATCATGAACGATGGGATCAGAGCTAGGACTCGGTATCTCTGTCCTTCAGCTAGCCATGGTGACAGGACATGGCCCCAGCTGTGTCTCCCATATTCGAGAATTATTTGCAGGGTAGATACGCAAGAATAAATGATGTTCTTAACATCACAGCAATTGCTTAAAAGCAGTGCCTTTCATACTTCTTTTTGACTCTGACCCTCAGTCACATACACATTTTTTCATAGCAGCCCAGTATACATATTCGAAAGCTTTCTGAAATATTGTTTTACCTTATTATGTGGGAAGCGTTCTGATATTTTCTGTGTTAGCTCAGTGCATTACTTTTTTTTTTTTAAGATGGAGTCTTGCTCTGTTGCCCAGGCTGGAGTGCAGTGGTGCAATCTTGGTTCACTACAACCTCCGCCTCCCTCATTCAAGCAATTCTCCTGCCTCAGCTTCCCAAGTAGCTGGGACTACAGGCACACGCCATCATGCCCAGCTAATTTTTTTGTGTTTTTAGTTGAGATGAGGTCTCACCGTGTTGGCCAGAGTGGTCTCAATCTAGTGACCTCATGATCTGCCTGCCTCGGCCTCCCCAAGTGCTGGGATTACAGGCATGAGCCACTGCCTAGCTGCATTACATTTTATTTTTTAAAAAGCTGAATAAGATCCACTATTTATTTTATAGTCACTAAAGAGTTGGGACCAACTGTTTGAAAATACTATTTTGAAGTATCCATGGGGTCTTACACTATAGCTGGAATGATAGGAGGACCCGAAAGGATGTTTTTAGGAATATGTTTTTGTGGGGAGAGTACATCCGATCCCCTTCTTTTTCCCTTAAGTATAAACTTGAAAAACTTGAGGAAATGGTAGGTGAGTAATTTATATGTATGGTTTCATGTGTATATTTGAAGTATTAATACATGAAAACAGTGAATAATAGTATCTGGCATGTAATAGGTACTTAATATGTGTTAGTTTTCTTTCTGCAGGCATATCTTGGTTGTTTAATTGTAAACAATTAGCTTTAGCTTTTAACTTAGCTTTTAGACTTCAAAAGTTCTATTTATCTTAATTTACTTTGAGTGATTAATTTTAGTTATTGAAAGACAGTTGATCAGATGAAATTTGTATCTTTGATTGACATAAATAATGCAGTCTTTTTATGTTTTTGGTCAGGTACTGGTAGTTAACTCTCAAGGGGAAATTTCACGGTTGAGCATCAAAAAGGAAGTGGTCACGAAAGGAAATATCAAGAATTATCTTAAATTGGGTCAAGAAGGGAAGTATCGCGTCTACCACAATCAATACTCCACCAATTCATTTGCTTTGAATAAGCACCAGCACAGAGAAGATCATGATAAGAGAAGGCATCTTGCACATAAATTCTGTCTGACTCCAGCAGGAGAGTTCAAATGGAACGGTTCTGTCCATGGGTCCAAAGTTCTTACTATATCTACTCTGAGACTGACTATCACCCAATTAGAAAACAACATCCCTTCATCCTTTCTTCATCCCAATTGGGCATCACATAGGTAAAGGAAACTAAGGTTAATTTATTGCTGTAGATATACTAAATGTTTATAAAATGATTGTTGTAGATGTGCACTTGAAAACGTCATTACCAATGAGTTGAATGAAGTCAATGTGGTCAGCAGACAGAATGTTAGAGGCATGAGTGTACTTCCAACTTACTGAACCAACACCACTATTTGGAGGATTAGGAGTCAGAGTCTTTATCCCTGGAATCAGATGGAGGCCAAAGTTACAACTATTGTGCTTTTAATTTAAGGTCAATGTAGTGAAATAATTTCTTTCATTTCTTCTGAAATATAGGGCAAATTGGATCAAGGCAGTTCAGATGTGTAGCAAACCCAGAGAATTTGCACTGGTTTTAGCCATTTTGGAGTGTGCAGTTAAACCAGTTGTGATGCTACCAATATGGCAAGAATCTTTAGGACATACCAGGTAAGTGAATTCTAAGCCTTGTAAATGATGAATATTGGACTCCCTTTTGAAATACTAGCCTATTAATAATGAAAGCTAATGTATTTAAGAGGCCATATTAAAGACTTTACTTTTGGCCTCATTTTCTTCCTATATAAGTTGTAAAACATGAATGAATATTATTAGTTCTTTCTTTTTTTTTGAGACAGAGTCTTGCACTGTTGCCCGGGCTGGTGTGCAGTGGCACAATCTCAGCTCACTGCAACCTCCACCTCTTGAGTTCAAATGATTCTCCTGCCTCAGCCTCTGAAGTAGCTAGGATTATAGGTGCCTGCCACTACGTCCAGCTAATTTTTTGTCTGTCACCTAGGCTGGAGTGCAGTGGTACCATCACAGCTCACTGCAGTCCTGACCTCCCTGGGCTAAGGTTGTCCTCTTACCTCAGCCTCCCAAATAGTTGGGACTACAGACGCATTCCACTATGCCTAGCTAATTTTTGTATTTTTTGTAGACACAGGGTCTCATTATGTTTCCCAGGCTGTTCTCGAACTCTAGGCTCGAGCGACCTGCCTGCCTCAGCCTACCAAAGTGTTGGGATTATAGTCATGATACATTTCCGATAACAGAGCAATTAGTGCAATGGTTGCTATAACATTTTAGAGAATGGTTTGACAAAAACAAAGTTAAAAATGCAATTTGACTCCTTCCTGATACTGTAGAGAAACTTTTACCCTGTGTACATGAGAAGACATTGTAGCAGAGTGTTCCTTATAATATTATTTCATATGGTGAAATTTGGAAATAATTCCTAAGTACTCATAATCAGGCATGTTTAAATTGTGTTATTTCATAATGGACTGTTACATAGCAGTCAGAAACACACTAGAGCAACAAGTGTCGAGATTGAATCTCATAAGTTTACAATAGAATGAAAACATTTGGAGAGGGTGGGAGGGGCACAACGGTTGAAAAATTACCTATTGCGTACAGTGTTTACTATACTGATAATGAGTAACTAGAAACCCAGTTCCCCCCAGTGCACATAGACTCCTTGAATCTAAAATAAAATAAAAATTTTAAAAAAGAGAAAAGAGTTCCATCACTAAAAACACATAAGGAAAAATGTATATACTACATACATGTGTGTAGAGTTTAAAAGCATGTGTGATGATACAATGTTACAGTATTGTTTAGGGATATAGATATTTGTAAAATTTTAAAGAAATGCAAGGGCTATATGCTTGAAATGTAAGAAGTATACTTCTAAATAAATAAGTGCTCAAATGTAAATCATAATGAAAACCAGAAAACATTTTGATATGGATGTTCATGAAAGTACTACACATATTGAAATTTGTGAGATGCAATTAGACTTCCTAGGAGAAGTTGCTAGCCGTTAATGCTTATGTTAGAAAAGAAAAACTGAAAATTAATTAGCTAGGGGTACATCTCAAGGAACCAACCTAAAGAAAGAAAATATTAAAGATGAGCAAACGTGATGAAATAGAAAAGAAACATACCTTAGATCCCATTATGTTTTACAAGGCTCTGATAAGATTATCAATGGGGGAAAAATAATACAGCACAACCAACCAATATCAAGAATAAAAAAAAGAGGGTTACTAACCAATATTTCTGATTCTTTTTTACTAGAACTTGGAATTTTAAAGCCTTCACAGGGTCCACTAATATAGTATTTGGGTTTCCTACATCCACAAAGAAAGGGGTCCACCTAGAAGGAGTGGACCAAGATGGTGGAATAGAAGTCCCCACCTGATCGTGCCCCACCTTGCATCCCCACCGCTACAGAAAGGGGCCCACCGAGCTCCCTTTGGGTGGGGGAAGGGTTGGGAAGGACGCCACAGTGATCTCAGTCCTTAGTAGGGCAGAAGCTACACTCTTAGGCAGGAGAAGGATTTCTGGTTGTTTATCACTGCACCTGTCATTAAGGTGATGGCAGGACCAGATGAGTTCATAAGGTTTTTCTTAAGTTTCGGGAACCAGATAGTTCTTTCTAAACTTTTCTACCAGAATAGAAAAAGGAGGAAATTTTACAGATTATTGTTTCTGTTAGTGTGAAGCTGTTAGAAAACTTGATAAATAGAAATAGACAAATAGAAAATTATGGCCCTGTCTCCTTTATTAGTATTTATTATAATAATTAATAGCAAATAGGTATGTCTATAAGAAATCTCAAAACATTGGTATGCAGATATATTCAGGAGTAAATTTAAAGAATAAAAAATCATGCTAAATTGGCTTCACCTTAGACACCAATCTCCAGGAGATTACTAATACCCTACTATTTTAAGAAGTCAAAGAAAGGCTGGAGCTGGTGGCTCATGCCTGTAATCCCAGCACTTTGGGTGGCCAGGGTGAGTGGATCACTTGAGCCCAGGAGTTTAAGACCAGCTTGGCCAACATGGTGAAACCCCATCTCTACTAAAAATACAAAAATCAGTGGGGCACAGTGGTGCATGCCTGTAGTCCCAGCTACTAGGATGCTGAGACAGGAGAATCGCTTGAACCTGGGAGGCAGAGGTTGCAATGAGCTAAGATCGCACCACTGCACTCCAGTCTGGGCAGCAGAGCAAGACACTGTCTCAAAAAGCAAAAAGTCAAAGAAAGGAAACCTTTTGATCATCTCATTAGATGCCAAGAAGGTATTTTTGTCTAAGTTCATTATGATTTATTGTTTTTTTTTTTAATTTTGAATTTTTTTTGGCTGGGCGTGGTGGCTCATGCCTATAATCCCAGCACTTTGGGAGGCCGAGGTGGGTGGATCACCTGAGGTTAGGAGTTTGAGACCCACCTGGCCAACATGGCGGAATCCCATCTCTACTAAAAATACAAAACTTAGCCGGATATGGTGGCACACGCCTATAGTCCCAGCTACTTCGGAGGCTGAGGCAGGAGAATCACTTGAACCTGGGAGGCAGAGGTTGCAGTGAGCCGAGATCATGTCACTGCACTCCAGCCTGGGCAATAGAGTGAGACTCTGTCTCAAAACAAAACAAAACAAAAAATGACTACTAGGAAATTTCTATTTAGATAGCTTGCAATCTATTTCTGGTGGACAGCCCTCTCCAGGAAGTCTCAGCCCTTCAGAGGGAAGGGGGACAGTTCCCCTTTGGGTAAAGCTATTTCATAGTGCTGAAAACATGATGATCCCCCTTCTAGTATACAGACGTGGATTCAGTAGATGCTTGATAATTTAATTCTTATTTGGTACTATTATTGACAAAGGAAAACGATAAAGGAAATATTTTTCTCTTCCCCCACCTTCTAGCTTTCTCCCTTTGTCTCATAACCATGTCCACCAACGAGAATGCTAATACACCAGCTGCCCGTCTTCACAGATTCAAGAACAAGGGAAAAGACAGTACAGTGAGTACCTTCTGTTGCTTTCCTGTGGTGTTGTTTAAATGGGAGGACATTTGGAAAGGGGTGAAAACTTAGGGATCTTTTTAAAAATACCCTCACTTAGCAACAAAAACTGATGTGATAGGTGAAACAGCATGTTATCTTTTCTCAAGGAAATGAGGCGTCGCAGAATAGAGGTCAATGTGGAGCTGAGGAAAGCTAAGAAGGATGACCAGATGCTGAAGAGGAGAAACGTAAGCTCATTTCCTGATGATGCTACTTCTCCGCTGCAGGAAAACCGCAACAACCAGGTAAAAAATGTATTTTAGTGCATGAGTTACATGAAATCCAGAAAATCAGTAGGAACTTTTCTTAGAAATTCAAGTAAACTTAACATTTCTAGTCTTATGGTTTTAACTATCTGTGAAGATCTTTTTCTCTGTTCACAATTAGTAATTGTCTTCTTTCCTGCTTTCCATAATCCACTGAAGCTTATTTAGGATCTTCCTTTAGCTCTGACCTTCCTTCAGACTTCCCTGCATTTCTAGCTGCTAGCTGGGTACCTTGACCTGTCCAGTGTGTCCAGAGCCAACGAGTTTCTGGTTTATTTCTTGTTTCTTTTTCCTACATGGAGTCTTGCTCTGTTGCCCAGGCTGGAGTGCAGTGGCACAATCCCGGCTCACTGTAGCCTCTGCCTCCTAGTTTCAAGCAATTCTCCTGCCTCAGCCTCCCAAGTAGCTGGGATTACAGGTACACACCACCACGCTTGGCTAATTTTTGTATTTTTAGTGGAGACAGGGTTTCACCATGTTGGCCAGGCTGGTCTTGAACTCCTGACCTTGTTATTCGCCCACCTGGGCCTCCTGAAGTGCTGAAATTACAGGTGTGAGCCACCACGTCCAGCCCATTTCTGGTTTATTTCTGTTATTTTTGTTAGTCTCTATTTTTTTTTTTTTTTTGTATTTGTCACCAGCTTTGTTCAGGACTTTCCTCCTGAAATATTTACAGTAGCCTCCTAATTTATCATTTCCTTCTTTCTGTGCCCTCTCTCTAAAAATAAAAATCCATACTCTTACCAGGCACGGTGGCTCATACCTGTAATCCCAGCATTTTGGGAGGCCAAGGTGGGTGGATCATCTGAGGTTAGGAGTTTGAGACCAGCCTGGCCAACGTGGTGAAACCCCGTCTTTACTAAAGATACAAAACAATTAGCTGGGCGTGGTGGTGGGCACCTGTAATCCCAGCTGCTTGGGAAGCTGAGGCAAGAGAATCGCTTGAACCTGGGAGGTGGAGGTTGCAGTGAGCCAAGATTGCACCACTGTACTCCAGCCTGGGCAACAAGTGCAAAACTCTGTCTAAATAATCATCATCATCCTCCTCATCATCCTCATCATCATCATCCATACTCCATGAAGGCCTTCCACAAATCTTCCACTTCGATTTTCAAATTTATCTTTCATCTTCCAAAGATAACTGGGCACTTTCCTACTTCTTTTTCTCACAATATGCTCAATATGCTTCCTTTTCTTTTTTTTTTTCTTTTTTGTTGAGACAAAGCCTGACTCTGTCATTGAGGCTGGAGCGCAATGGTGCCATCTTGGCTCACTGTAACCTCTGCCTCCTGGATTCAAGTAATACTCGTGCCTCAACCTCCCGATTAGCTGGGATTATAGGCACGCACCACCATGCCCAACTAATTTTCTATTTTTTTCAGTAGAGATGGGGTTTCGCCATGTTGGCCAGGCTAGTGTCGAGCTCCTGACCTCAGGTGATCTGCCCACCTCGGCCTCCCAAAATGCTGGGATTACAGGCGTGAACCACTGCGTGCAGCCACATTATGCTTCCTTTAGCCCTTTAGCACTCCACATTTATCTTTTTTTTTTTTTTTTATTGAATACTACCTATGTTCTATTTCTAGGATACTAACACTAATAGAGGTGAGTAATGCTCAAAGCTCATCTTCTCCTTATAGCACTCCTTAGCCTAGCAGGAAAGACACTCCTTTCCCAGGATTCTCTAGCACCTTGGTTCTGTACCCAAAATGGGGAGTAAATGCTGTGTAGCCCATCTGTTTACCACTTGTTTGACGCTGTTTGTCTGCTTGTCACATTTCCTCTGTGAGGCGTCAAGCTCCTGGAGAGACAGGGGTACTGTCTTTTTAAATTATGGGTAGCACTGGTTCTCAAACCACCTTTCTACTGTGATTCACAACATAAAACAGTTTTTTATAGAGTGCAGGGGATGGGTCTTGCTCTGCTGCCCAGGCTGGAGTGCAGTGATGTGATCTCAGCTCACTGCAGCCTCCGCCTCCTGGATTCAAGCGATTCTCCTGCCACCCCCTCCCGAGTAGCTGGGATTACAGGGGCCCGCCACCACGCCTGGCTAATTTTTGCATTTGTAGTAGAGATGGGGATTCACCATGTTTCCCAGTCTGGTCTCGAACGCCTGACCTCAGGTGATCTACCGCCTCGGCCTCCCAAAGTGCTGGGATTACAGGCATGAGCCACTGAGCCTGGTCGCACATAACACATTTATATTTGCAACGACACTCAACCGTGGGCATACATAGATTATAAGATTAGATACGAAAATCCTCAGAATGTTGCTTATAACTTCGTGTCTTTCTCTCTCAAAGTATATCTGAATGCAAGTGATTGAGATTAATGTAGGAATAATCTTCAGTCTGCTCTGATTTTTTTTTTGAGACAAGGTCTTGCATGGTGACAGGCGCACACCACCATGTCTGGATAATTTTTTTTTTTTTAATTTTTGTAGGGTGGGGAGGTCTCATTATGTTGCTCAGGCTGGTCTCGAACTCCTGAGCTCAACCCATCCTCCCTCCTGAGCCTCCCAAAGTGCTAGGATTACAGGTGTGAGCCACTGTGCCTGGCCTTCTAGTTCATTTTTTAAATTTTTCAAAGCTGCATTTTTTAGCAACAAAACACTTGGATATTCCATAACTTGAGACTCCAGTGAGTCCTGACACTGAGTTTGGAAACTGTTCTACATATAAAATAATGAATATTTAACAGGCAAAATTAAATGTAGGGCTAAATTTTTAGTAGCTGGCTATAAGCCGAACAATGTTTACACTTGCCTTCACAGTGGTAAGTGTGGATTTTATTGTTTGTATTTAATCTTAATGATAAGGTGCAAAATTTCATTTTTCTTCTAGGGCACTGTAAATTGGTCTGTTGATGACATTGTCAAAGGCGTAAATAGCAACAATGTGGAAAATCAACTCCAAGCTACTCAAGCTGCCAGGTAAGTCTGTCTGCGATAGCATGGGTAACCTAATAAATTCGTGTTTTTAGATTTTTGGGGGGGTAGGCAGGAATAGACAGACAGATAGTGTAAGGAAAGATTAGGTTAGCCAGCCATAAGCCAAATAGTTTCTTATTTATTAATTTTTTTGAGAGGGGAGCCTTGCTGTTTTGCCCAGGCTGGTCCCAAATGCCTGGGTTCAAGCAATTCTCTCACCTCAGCCTCCTGAAGTGCTGGGATTACAGGTGTGTGCCATTGCACCCGCCCATAAAGTTTTTATCAAAGTAATGTTTGAAGTCACTGGCAGGGAAAGGAAGAAATAAATAGTAAGTGGGATTGAGACATCCATTTAGAATGATAGATCCATTTAGGAGATAAGTATAATTTGACCTTTGCCTCCTGTCATACACAGTTATGATATAATAGAAAGGATTAATAATTTCTATAGCTTGACAGAACAAATTTCAATGGTAAATGATTAAAAAGTTCTAGGCTGGGCGCGGTGACTCCTGCCTATAATCCCAGCACTTTGGGAGGCCAAAGGGTGGGTTGCTTGAGCCCAGGAGTTTGAGACCAGCCTGGGCAACCTGGTGAGACCCCGTCTCTATGAAAAATAAAAAAAATTACCCGGGTGTGGTGGTACATACTTGTAGCCCAGCTACTAAGGAGGCTGAGGTGGGAGGATCACTTGAGCCCAGGAGGTCGAGGCTGCAGTGAGCTGTGATTGTGGCACTGCACTCTAGCCTGGGTGGAGTGAGATCCTGCCTCAAAAAAACAAAAAGTGCTTAACCACAACTATCAGGGAGAACAAATTCAATTACTAATGAGAGTATAACTCTGTCAGATTGTCAAAAGTTGTTTTAAAAAGTGACAAGATCTGTAGAAGATTTCTGCAGGGCTGCAGAGGAGGGTAATCAACATTAATTTTTGGAAAAATGATAGTTAATTATACCACATACATAGTACTGTACAAGTAATCTGTTCAACTTCTCTCAGGTTCCAGAACGTCTCCACATTTAGTGATTTACTTAAAAGGTTGTCTGAAGTTCTAAACTGTTGAATTGCCTTTTAAATTGGTTTTTACACAAACTCCTTTTGTTAACCACTTTCAACTTTTATTTCTCTTTTTGTTCCCCTTTAGGAAACTACTTTCTAGAGAAAAACAGCCCCCCATAGACAACATAATCCGGGCTGGTTTGATTCCAAAATTTGTGTACTTCTTGGGCAGAACTGATTGTAGTCCCATTCAGTTTGAGTCTGCTTGGGCACTTACTAACATTGCTTCTGGGACATCAGAACAGACCAAGGCTGTGGTAGATGGAGGTGCCATCCCAGCATTCATCTCTCTGTTGGCATCTCCCCATGCTCACATCAGTGAACAAGCCGTTTGGGCCCTAGGAAACATTTCAGGTACTTGGACTTGAAGTTCTTTTGACTGAATGTATCTAAGCGTAATGAGTTGGAAGAAAGGCCTTGTTATAAGTAATAACGACTTCGTCAAGTTTTGAGCTTGCTTTCAAGCCGTTATTAGGAATGAAAGTGTTGTCTTTACAAAGGCAGCAGAGGGGCATCTAAGTACGTTTGGGAGTTTTTGCTGGTGCATTCAGTCACTGAACGTTGATGGTTTTGGACAAGGTAATAAAATTAATCTTGCCTTTTTTTTTCAGGTGACGGCTCAGTGTTCCGAGACTTGGTTATTAAGTATGGTGCAGTTGACCCACTGTTGGCTCTCCTTGCGGTTCCTGATATGTCATCTTTAGCAGTAAGTTACTAACATGAATAAAGTTACTCACTTCTTCATTCTAATTTCCCCCATCTTCTCAAAAGACAGAACCTCTCATTGCCTATTTTTTTCCCCTAGCATGGCTCCTTACGTAATCTTACCTGGACACTTTGAAATCTTTGCCGCAACAAGAATCCTGCACCCCCGATAGATGCTGTTGAGCAGATTCTTCCTACCTTAGTTCGGCTCCTGCATCATGATGATCTAGAAGTATTAGCAGATACCTGCTGGGCTATTTCCTACCTTACTGACGGTCTGAATGAACGAATTGACATGGTCGTGAAAACAGGAGTTGTGCCCCAACTTGTGAAGTTTCTAGGAGCTTCTGAATTGCCAATTGTGGTAAGTTATTTACTTGTAGATTAGGACGTAAGTATAAGAAGTATGGTCAGGGATGGGCGCGGTGGCTCATGCCTGTATAATCCCGTATAATCCCAGCACTTTGGGAGACCGAGGCGAGTGGATCAGCTGAGGTCAGGAGTTCGAGACCAGCCTGGCCAACATGGTGAAACCCCATCTCTACTAAAAATACAAAGAAATTAACTGGACATGGTGGCATGCACTTTAATCCCAAGGCAGGAGAATTGCTTCAACCCGGGAGGCGGAGGCTGCAGTGAGCCGAGATTATGCCATTGCACTCCAGCCTGGGTACAGAATTTCTGAAGTGCTGAGAAAAAAATAAGGTAACCAGCATCAACAATTTTTCCTTTTCAGACTCCTACCTTAAGAGCCATAGGGAATATTGTCACTGGTACAGATGAACAGACTCAGGTTGTGACTGATGCAGGAGCACTCGCTGTCTTTCCCAGCCTGCTCACCAACCCCAAAACTAACATTCAGAAGGAAGCTACATGGACAATGTCAAACATCACAGTTGGCCGTCAGGACCAGATACAGCAAGTTGTGAATCATGGATTAGTCCCATTCCTTGTCAGTGTTCTCTCTAAGGTAACGAAGTCTTAGGATTTAACCAAGTCATTTTTTAGTATTTATTGAAAGCTGTGCTCCATAAGCTTCTTCATGTGCAAGAATCTTGGGTTCTACTTGGAGTCCTTTGCTGAAAAATACCCAGGAACCCCTTTCACTTAAGATTGTATAGAACCTTGGTCCTTTCAGTCATTGTTTTTGTGAAAAAGTACTCTTGGAATCTTATTTGTGCAACTGTTCTGAAATAAAACCATTTCCTTATGTTGAATAGGCAGATTTTAAGACCCAAAAGGAGGCTGTATGGGCCGTGACCAACTATACTAGTGGTAGAACAGTTGAGCAGATTGTGTACCTCGTTCACTGTGGCATAATAGAACCATTGGTGAACCCCTTAACTGCAAAAGATACCAAGATTATTCTGGTTATCCTGGATGCCATTTCAAATATCTTTCAGGTAAGTCCTATCAAGGTGGCTTTGTTTGAATTTGAACTTGATAAAAATCAGTTTACTATTTAGACCTGGGGGAGGGCAGCTGTTGTAAGTTTACTCACTAGTAAGCCAAAGATTCAGAAAGCCTGTTTAGGTGGGCCACACCTTTGATTAAAAATGTGGCAGGCATTATCAAAGATATAAAAGAGATGACAAGTGGATGATGGGACCTGAATCGAAGTCGGGTGCTTATGTGAACTCATCACACCTGTTCACTTGGTTGATTTAATGTCCCAATTTTATCCTGAATTCTGGTGAAATTAAATTTGAATGACTTGGTGCAGTGGCTCATGCCTGTAATCCCAGCACTTTGGGAGGCCAAGGAGGGTGGATCACCTGAGGTCAGGAGTTCGAGACCAGCCTGGCCAACATGGCGAAACCCTGTCTCTACTAAAGATACAAAAATTAGCCAGGCGTGGTGGCGGGTGCCTGTAATTCCAGCTACTCGGGAGGCTGAGGCAGGAGAATTGCTTAAACCCTGGGCGGGGGGTGGAGGTTGCAGTGAGCCAAGATTGCATCACTTCACCCCAGTCTGGGCGAAAGAGTGAACCTGTCTCAAAAAAAAAAAAAAATTCTGAACGACTTAATTATATTTTTCTTCTGGTTCCACCCCTAATTGATCCAAGCATACCAGCATATGGCACTTTGTCATAGTGATTGGTGGTAGGTAAGCCCTTCTCATCAACTTTGGATTCTAGAGATTTTTACATATAGATATTGAGCCTATAGGCTGGGCATGCTGGCTCATGCCTGTAATCCCAGCACTTTGGGAGGCCGAGGCAGGTGGATCATGAGGTCAGGAGTTCAGGACCAGCCTGGCCCACATAGTGAGACCCCGTCTCTACTAAAAATACAAAAAATGAGCCAGATGTGGTGGCGGGCGCCTGTCATTCCAGCTGCTCAGGAGCTGAGGCAGGAGAATCGCTTGAACCTGGGAGGCAGAAGTTGCAGTGAGCCAAGATTGTGCCATTGCACTCCAACCTGGGCAACAAGAGTGAAACTCTGTCTCCGGAAAAAAAAAAAAAAAAAATTGAGCCTACAATAATGGATGCTGGCATATCTGTCACTGCGTATAAATAATTTGTCAGTATGTGGCCAGTATTTCCTCTTCCCCTCATCTAATCCCCTAAGTTATTTTCAAGTAAATCTGCTATTTCATCTATAGATATTTATATGTCTCTTAAAAGTTGAAAATTTAAAGAAAAACTAACCTACATACCATTCCATATGCCCAATAAATCCTTAATACCAACACACATTCTGGTCGGAGACATTTAGTTTAGCACTCCATACGCCATCTTTGCCCTTAGACATCTTGACTACACCTTGTGATGATAAAGGACTTTTTACAGAACAATAAGCCCCTGTTCCCATAGCAGACCAGTTGAACTGGAACGTAGTGTGTTTTAAAAGTTGCCCATGTGATTTTGATACATAGAAAAGGTTGAGAGCTCTGGATTGTAAGATCTTTGGTTCCAGTTGAGGTAGTGCTAAAAGCAGGTATAGATCCAATCACATTGAGTTTCAACAAAATATAAAATGGACATAAAACTATGACATGCTTGATGAAGGAACTGTTAAGGTGCTTATTTCTGCCTGACATATCAATATTAAAAATTTTCAATGTTTTCTTCATTAAAACATTCAGAGTATACACCAGTAAACTTGGAATTTTTTTTTTAGGCTGCTGAGAAACTAGGTGAAACTGAGAAACTTAGTATAATGATTGAAGAATGTGGCGGCTTAGACAAAATTGAAGCTCTGCAAAACCATGAAAATGAGTCTGTGTATAAGGCTTCGTTAAGCTTAATTGAGAAGCATTTCTCTGTAGAGGTGAGTAATGGATGGTAATATTAATAATAACTTGGAAACATGTAAAGTCAAGCCCTTTTTTCCCTCATAATTTTAAAAATGAGCCTCATATCTTTGTTAAATATAGTAAAATACCAGTGTACATAGGATGTAATGTATTTATTTGCCCCTCTGATGTTTGGCTTGATAGTAATAAAATCTTTTTATTTTTTATTTTTTGGTTTCTATAAATTATTTTATTAGAATGTCAGACTCAAAAGGAACTACCAGTAACATGCCAGAAAATGCTATATATGATTTATGCTTGACCCATGACCCCTGCTGTCACTGGATCCAGAGTGTGAACAAGGGAGAAGGAAGTGGAGGTGGGCGGGGACAGCACTAGCCCTGGCTGGCCAGACGTCGGGCCCACAGACCTGGTCCCCATAACCACCAGGATCCCTACGATGTACACATTCCTAATTCAGGCTCAACTCTACCCAAGAGTAAATGCCTCAGGACTCAGTCTGAATCACTGTCCGTCTCGGCTTCTGTCACATCCACACTGAATTTGTACTCCTGGTCACATCCCATGTAAGTGTCACTCATGAAATACAGAGTGTAGTTGTGGGCAACTACACTTCAGTGGCTGGGGCCACAAAGTCCAGCTTCACCTTGGCCTTCTGCTGCAGCGTCAGCCTCTTGATGGAGATGAGGCTACTGGACGTGGCGTCTCCAGTCACCACCCACCAGCCCTCTTCACGTTTCTGCAGGAAGAGAGGTACAATGACAGGGCCTGTGACTTCCTCCTCTCGCTGCAGCTGCACCAGCACCACCACTGGCCTGCCACTGCGGATGCTGTCCTTATCTACCACCTCATAAGATAGTTCGATATTAGGTAGTGGTTACAAAAGCGAGCCACATCTGTAATCTGTAGTCAGTCAGCTGAAGCAATGTATTCCATTCTTCATCCTCCATCTCCATGATGTCGAAAACACTCTCCACTCCCTTGTCTGTGCAACGTTTGATATGCTCAGAGGTGAAGTGTGGCAGCTGCTTCAGGTATGAGTCCTGGGACCACATGGCTTGAGTGACCCTCTGGGCCGGTTCCATAGCTGCCACAGCAGGGCTGAGCCACCCATTGCAGGAGAGGACATCCACGCAGGCCTGGATAAGCCGGATTGCCTTACTAAGGATTTCCTCCGGATCTGACTGCAACTCAGCACTCAGCTGCACGCGGGACAGGCGAGCCTGCAGGAGCAGGTTGGCCTTGATGTGTGGATCATTGAACTTAGGGTTATTCAGCTTGTGGGGGACCTTCTGAGCCAACGGCCTCAGGAAGTTGTCTTCATGGTGCCGGATGGGAATGTTCTCGTACCCTGCTGCATTGGAGATGATCTCAATAAGCCCTCGAACCTTGGTCTTGGCATTGAGGTGAGATTTTAAAAGTCACCAAGTTAGTTTCAAATGGACAGCCTTGAGCATCTTAGACTATCTGGAGGGTAAGTTAGTGGGTGTCACTGTAGAAGGTGATAGAGAAGTAGGCCAAACCCACCGCCATGCTCTGGGCCTAATACAGTCTTTTCCTATTGAAAAGTGACAGTTGGGGAAGAAAAAAATCTTGGCCTGTTTCTGTTACTGTAGTAGCATTCCTTATCCCCGGTCCCCGCAACTCCCCAGGCATTCATGAATTGGCAAAGTTTCAGAGACCCTCCCTCCCCTATGTCAAATGCTAGAATATCATACAGGATTAAAGGTATAATATGCAGGCCAGGCGCGGTGGCTCAAGCCTGTAATCCCAGCACTTTGGGAGGCCGAGACGGGCAGATCATGAGGTCAGGAGATCGAGACCATCCTGGCTAACAAGGTGAAACCCCATCTCTACTAAAAAAAATACAAAAAACTAGCCAGGCGAGGTGGCGGACGCCTGTAGTCCCAGCTACTCGGGAGGCTGAGGCAGGAGAATGACGTAAACCCGGGAGGCGGAGCTTGCAGTGAGCTGAGATCCAGCCACTGCACTCCAGCCTGGGCGATAGAGCGAGACTCCGTCTCAAAAAAAAAAAAAAAAAAAAAAGGTATAATATGCAGATCAAGACCTAGAGATTAAATACAGACTTCTAGATAGGCTGCTGCTTGGAATAATTATATTCTTTTTGTATTTATTTTTATTATGTTTCCAGGAAGAGGAAGATCAAAATGTTGTGCCAGAAACTACCTCTGAAGGCTACACCTTCCAAGTTCAGGATGGAGCTCCTGGGACCTTTACCTTTTAGATCACGTAGCTGAGGCATACATTTGTTGTGTACCATGTTTGGTATTTTGTCTTATTGTTTCTCTACTAAGAACTCTTTTTAAATGTGGTTTGTTATTGTAGCACTTTTTACACTGAAACTATACTTGAACAGTTCCAACTGTACATACTGTATGAAGCTTGTCCTCTGACTAGGTTTCTTATTTCTATGTGGAATTTCATATCTTGCAGGATCCTGTAAATAAACATTAAAGTCCACCCTTTTCTTTACTTCACCATGCCTGTGTGTGGCTTTCTAATTTGGAGCCTTTAATGTCGCTGGTGAAAGGTAACCCATCCGAATTGGTGTGATGAACCAGAGTAGTCCTGGCTGCAGTTTTTACAGAAGAATGAATAACATTTTCCAGAAACCCTCAGCCAGTGTCTCCTTAAGTCTCCTTGGCCAGGGAGATGGGCTAAACACCTTATATTTAATCATAAATCTCTCCTGGAGCTACAAGCGGAATTCATTCCTCCCAAACTTCAAGGGTGAATGGGATTCCAAGGTCAATCATGGCTGCACATGGGCCTCATCTGGGAAAGTACCCAGTTCTGTTTAGTTGATGAGGGGCGTGAGGGTCCACCTTTGGTCTTTTTAAAAAATTGCATTCCCAAGGGCTCCTGTACAGTGTAGGTTGATAGACACTATTCTTTTTGAGATGGAGTCTCACTCTGTTGCCTAGGCTAGAGTGCAGTGGCACGATCTTGGCTCATTGCAACCTTTGCCTCCCAGGTTTAAGCGATTCTCTTCCTCAGCCTCCTGAGTAGCTGGGATTACGAGCACCCATCACCATGCCCGGCTCATTTTTGTGTTTTTAGTAGAGATGGGGTTTCACCGTCTTGGCCAGGCTGCTCTTGAACTCCTGGCCTCCTGATCACCCACCTTGGCCTCCCAAAGTGCTGGAATTATAGGTGTGAGCCACCACATCCAGCTGATAGCCACCACTCTTAAGGAATGTGCTGTCACTGGAACAGGCAATGGATTCTGAGTGGAAACCACAAAGTGTTACCTACAGTAGTACCACGTAAGTCTTAGGAAAAGTGAAATGCTCACTGCAACCTCCACCTCCTGGGTTCAAGCAATTCTCCTGCCTCAGCCTCCCAAATAGCTGGGATTATAGGTGTGTGCCACCACAACCAGCTTATTTTTGTAGTTTTAGTAGAGACGGGGCTTCACCATGTTGGCCAGGATGGTCTCGATCTCTTGGCCTCATGATCCACTGCCTTGGCCTCCCAAAGTGCTGGGATTACAGGCGTGAGCCACTATGCTCAGCCAAGACATCTTTTCAAGTCAGTAGTAATATACTGCAACAAGTCTCCATTTACCTTCTTGGCTACAAACACAAGGATTTTCTTCCCCTAGTTCATCAACATGCATATAAATATATTTTGCCTTTTGCAGGTAACAGTTGTGTTTTAAAATCCTTCCATGGAATGATGTTTAATCCTTACCTTATTTAGGTATAGAGCACTGGCTAATACTTATTTGAAGCACCCCCTACAGCCAAGTTGCTAAAATGGGACACTAGGCCGGGTGCGGTGGCTCACGACTATGATGCACTTTGGGAGGTTGAGGCAGGCAGATCACTAGAGGTCAGGAGTTTGAGACCAGCCTGGCCAACATGGTGAAACCCTGTCTCTACTTTAAAAAAAAAAAAAACACAAAACAAAAATTAGTGGGATGCGGTGGTGGGTGCCTGTAATCTACTTGGGAGGCCGAGGCAGAAGAATCGCTTGAACCTGGGTGGCGGAGGTTGCAGTGAGCTGAGATCGCGCCATTTCACTCCAACCTGGGAGACAGAATGAGACCCTGTCTCAAAAACAAAACAAAAACACACAAAAAAACAACAAAAAATAAAATGGAGCACTAAACCCCTGTGTTACACATGGTCCTCGTAAGCATAGAGCATTTTGTTTGGAACCATGGATTACTTTCTCAGCTTTTCCTGTACAAAGGCTGCCATAAAGGGAAGGGGGAAGAGACATTAACAGTACAGACGGCCCTTTCTTTCCTACTTACTTGCTCCTCTCTTCCTCTCCCCAACTCGAGTCCCTTCTTGGATACTGAATCCAAAAGTCTTCAGCTTGAGAAAAGGTGATGGGGAAGGAAACCTGGACATCCTAGATTTTTGCTTTAACATGGGAGAGTTTTAATGGCTTCAGAGGGACTGGTGTAAAAGACAGGATAGAAAGTGTAAGGTCTGGATTTGTTAAAGGAGGCATGACTCAATAGTGAGGTAATGAGCAGGAGATAGCTGGTTTCCAAAAAAGTTTTTTTTCATATTTTAGATAAAATGCTTAACATGCTAGTTTCCTTGGAGTCGTTAGATCCATAGAGGCATTGGGAGATTTTTATTTAATTTATATGTGGGTAACTTAATATCTTTGAGAATGACAGAATGACTTTATAACCAGCTTGATTTGTAAAAGTCACGATAAAAACATTATGTAGCCACCAACTTCTCCCTCTTGTAGTGTTAATGTCTAAATTGCCAGTGATTTATTAATGTACTAACATTTTTAGTTTCCTAGTAGTTTGAAATCTCTTTATTTTTTCTTTTTTCTTTTTTTTTTTTTTTTTTGAAACGGAGTCTCGCTCTTGTTGCCCAGGCTGGATGGAGTTCAGTGGCGTGATCTTGGCTCACCGCAACCTCAGCCTCCCGGGCTCAAGCAATTCTCCTGCCTCAGCCTCCCGAGTAGCTGGGACTACAGGCTCCCGCCACCACACTTGAGTAATTTTTTTTTTCTTTTGAGACGGAGTCTCGCTCTGTCTCCCACGCTGGAGTGCAGTGGCGCGATCTTGGCTCACTGTAATCTCCACCTCCCGGGTTCACGCCATTCTCCTGCCTCAGCCTCCCGAGTAGCTGGGACTACAGGCACCCGCCACCGCGCCCAGCTAATATTTTGTATTTTTAGTAGAGATAGGGTTTCACCATGTTAGCCAGGATGGTCTTGATCTCTTGATCTCGTGATCCGCTGGCCTCAGCCTCCCAAAGTGCTGGGATTAGAGGCGTGAGCCACCGTGCCCGCCAATTTTTGTATTTTTAGTAGAGATGGGGTTTCTTTCTTTCTTTCTTTCTTTCTTTCTTTCTTTTCAAGACAGAGTTTCACTCTTGTCGCCCAGGCTGGAGTCCAGTGGCGCGATCTTGGCTCACAGCAACCTCCATCTCCCAGGTTAAGCGATTCTCCTGCCTCAGCCTCCCAAGTAGCCAGGATTACAAGTTCCTGCCACCACACCAGGCTAACTTTTGTATTTTTATTAGAGATGGGGTTTTGCCATGTTGGCCAGGCTGGTCTCAAACTCCTGACCTCAAGTGATCCACCCGGCTTGGCCTCCCAAAGTGCTGGGATTACAGGTGTGAGCCACCGTGCCCGGCCATCTAGCAGTTTGAAACGTCATTTAAGACTTTGATAGTGTCACAGAGCGCGGGGCCGGCGGAGAGGAAAGCTGGAGGCACGGGTGGTTGGCAGGAAGTGGGACTGGTGCCTGGCAGATGCGGTGGTAACGATAGGTACTGGTTTTGGATTAGGAATTGTTTTCTCACTTACCTTCTTTAAAAGAAGAATGTGGCCATTAGCCTTCAGTTCTGGCATGGGATTAGAAATGGCTTACTCCAACTGTCAGCATGATTTCCAGGCTCCATATCTTCTACATGGAGAATATGTCAATGAGCAGGAGCAATGACTTCACTTGAGAACATCCCAGTGGGAGGACAGGAGAAATCATATTTACTCCTCAGGAATACTGAAGTGCCCTGGAGTAAGCTGTCATTCTTCTGTAACAATGTTATCAGCAATGCTTTAAACTCCAGCACCTGGTTATGTATTTGAAATCAAGTCTGTTTCTTGTTTTGTATTTTCCCTCTGGAAATTGTAGGGAGGTGGTCTTCAATAAATTAAACAAAAAAAAGGAAAAAAAAAAAAAAGACTTTGATAGGCTGGGCATGGTGGCTCACGCTTTTAATCCCAGCACTTTGGGAGGCCGAGGCAGGCAGATCATCTGAGGTCAGGAGTTCAAGACCAGCCTGCCCAACATGGCAAAACCCTGTCTCTACCAAAAATACAAAAAATTAACTGGGCGTGGGGGCAGGAGGTGGATGTTGCAGTGAGCCAAGATTGCACCACTGCACTCCAGTCTGGATGACAAGAGCAAGATTCCATCTCAAAAAAAAAAAAAAAAAAACTTTGATAAATTATATATGTCTTTACCTATAACTTTCATTTTTGTATTTGTTTTTGTTGTAAGCAAGAGAGGAAAGGTAATATTCCTAATATCATTTGGCAATTATCAAAGTAAAAACTGCTAACACTTATTTTGCTTGTTGAAATAATCTTAAAAGGGTAACATTAAAAGATTGGACATCAGTGTGAAACATTTCACGAAGTATTGATTCTTTCATTGCTATATTGCATTAATCAAGTAGCTTGATTATTTTTAGAACAAAGGAAACCAACATTCTGTTTCCTAATGTTGATTTTTTTTTTCTCTCATCCTCAATCTTTCTGTGGCTGCATCATCACTGAAGAAAAAGCTCAGGATAATTTTTTGTTATTGTAAATCTTCATTGTTAAGTAAGATTTTTATTTCAGCATTCGGCCTCTTTAATTGCGTAACAGCAGTAACAGCAAAGTCAGTTTTGTTCATATGAGCCACTGGAAACCTTGTCAGATACAGGACCCAAGTTCAGAAGGCCATTAAGGCCTGGCTGCCCCTTACCCCTCTCCACCCTTGCTGGAGCTTGCCAAAACCCGGTGGACTGATTTTGGAAAGCCCTTGAAACATGTCATTTCATTAATGGTGCTTTCTTTTGGGATTGGGCTGTTGACCTAATTTGTGATGAACAAAACCCAGCCAAATCATGCAGCCTCCCTCTAACTCCCCATGGGAAAGTGTTAGAGAAAAGCGTTTTAGCAACATCACCCATTTAAGTTTCATAACCCCAGCTAATAAAGATGATAAGAAACACCCAAGCTATCAACTAGGGTTTTCTGAGGGCAGAAGTACAATTTAATTTTGAGCACTTGCATGTTAAACGACATGTGGTTGGCCTAGTTTGAAAGCTAATTCTAGTGTCTGTAAATGCTCAGTTCCTCCTAAATATTTGGGACAGTTTCATAACATTGTGTAGGAGGTGTATGCATCGAACCCTCTTAAACTGATCCGTTCGTGCATTCCAGGCTTTTCACAATTGTCAATGTCTTTTCCCATCCTAGTTGTGGGAGGTAGCATGGTGTA